ACTGAAAAAGTGGAATGTCCAAAATGTAAAAAATATTTAACAAAATACACTTTCAAATATCGTCATAACTGTAATGGAATACCAGTTAAAAAAGAACCAGACCCTAACAAAGTTGTTCGAAGAAAAATTATGCATCCACAACAAGTAGAAGAATTTAAAGAAGATGTATATGAAAAGGTTAAAGATATTATTCCAAAAGTGGATGAACAAGAAATAGAAAGAAGAGTTGAAGAACGATTGAAAAAGCATTTAGAAACAACTGCTAATAAAGTATTTGAAACTGCAAAAGATAGATATATTAATATGAAACAGCAGAAGATGGAAAAGAAACAAGAACATATTAATAAATTAGTATCAAAAATTATTTGATAAATAAATTTATAATCTAATTATTATTATATGAACAAGTCAGATTTTGAAAATATAACATCAACACTTACAAATAATGGTAAAGCAGGTCGCGAACGCTCGCGAGGCTCTGCCGAGCGTCAACTACCAACATCAAACAAATTTTATAATCCCATAACAAAACCAAGTAAAAAATATAAATCTAATGTCCATTACTATTACGACGGAGACAACAAAGCACACCAACCAAACTATACATATCTGAAAGAAATGAAGGAACAGTTAGAATTTCATAACGCTAAAAAAGATTACTCTATATTTCAAAATAGAAGAAGATATCAAGATGAAGCACAGGCGTATTTTAATGAAATCCAAAGGTTGGAAGGTGAAAAAATAAGACATCATCCATCAAGTGAAACAGGTAAAACCTATTCGGAAATGATTAAGAAGAAAAAAGGAATAATCAATCAATTAAGACAAGATTTTAATTTTGAATAAATTAATTAAATTAGATAAATAAATTTTATAATCTAATTAATTTCATATAATAATGAGATTAGAAAATGCACAGATGAAAACGCTAAAATCACAATTGAGATTAAGACCGTCTTATAATGAACTGATAAAGGAAATTACAAAGGAAGAATATAAAAATAAGAATATCAGAGATGTAATAGACAGAAACGCTTATTATTTTCGTGATAGTCCATTAGGAACAGTGTATGACAATAATACCGTAGATTTGAGACAACAACATTTTCAAAAAATGTTAGAAAAACCTAAAACAGTCGAGCAGTTTGATATGACAAGGGACGATGAAATGGATGATTTAAGAGATGGAGCAATACAAACACTAAGCGCCACAATGGACGACGCCGAGGAACATCACGAGCAACAAACAAGTCAAATGTCAGAAGATGTTAGACGACAATTTTTAGATGATTTACATGAAAGGGCACGGGTAGCCACAGATTGGAGAAAAACAAAATATGATACACCATCAGAGGTTCAATCAATGGCAACTGCTAAATCAAGCGATGATGACTTACCACCGTTAGAACCGCTTATGACAGAAGATGAAGCAGTTAAAGAATATGTTAAAGGCCTTGTAAATCGTAAAATCAAAAATGTAGCAAAGAAAGTGGCATCATCAAGAGAGCAAACAATGGACAACGCTGACAGCTCATCCACAGTCCCACAAAGACAAACAAGAACACATAAGGAAACCATTGACTATTCAACTGATATAAACCATTGGAAAGGAAGCACAGTAAAAGAGGAAGACATATTATTTCAATTACATTTACGAGGAGCAGGACTTACTGAAGAACAGGAACAACAATATTCAAACACAAAGAAAAAAGGTAAAGGTAAAAAAGAAACCGGTAGAACTTATTTAGTTGGACTGGTGGAGAAACTTATAAACAACGGAAAATGGATGACGAAAGTAAATGATGAATTGCTAAGAAAAAGAATGGAAGATTGGAGAGATATTAAAGGCAAAGGCAAAGCAACAAAGGATTAACCAATCATTTTACATAATTTATCAACAATTATATAAAATGATTAACAACCACAAACACGAGTTAAGGAAACGCCCCACATATGATGAAATGCTTAAACAAGCAATGACAAACAAAATAAAAACAACAGTTATACTGAAGAAATACAAGAAAGATATGTTATTGAATAATTTTGATTTTGATAAAATGGATTTAATGAATTATAAAAATAAAGAAAGATATATGAACGCTCAAGTTATGATGGCAGACAAGGCAACACAAACGCTTAACAAAGAAAACAAGGCAACACAAACAGACCTACCAAATGATAAAGAAACACAAACTTATAATTTTGATGATATGACAAAACTATTAGGTGGGTCTTCAAAGAGTTTCAAAAGTAAAATGATAACCAAGGCTGAAGCAGAAGCAGAAGCATTTACATATGACCCTGATTTATATGATGATGACGATGATGATGATGATGACAAAAAAGATGATGACATTGATAGATATAGAAAGAAATTATTTATGTTGATGAGGATTATAGAATTTATGATGAGTTCAGGTTTTAGTATAGGACAAATAGTAGCACATTTAACATACCACACTACAATAACCACAATTCAAGGTTCAGAGTTATTAGTTAATTTAACAATGAACTCATTAGTAACATCATACGATATAGCAACTGCTATAATGAATTGGTTGAATACAAATGTTAGTGAAGAAGTTGATTTAAACACCTCACCGCCTGTTAGTGTTCATAGTTCTCCTCCTATCACTGTTAATAGTTCTTCAACGCATACTGTTAATTCATCATCATCAGAAGAAAATCCTAATTATGAAATAGCACCTCCTACCGATATGCCTGTACCTACCGGTGTGGATGGGGACGAGTCTGAAAGTGAAAATGATGAAACTGAAAACCAAAATATCAACCCTGCAAAAACTAAAACTACTTAAAGAAATGACCCCTTAATATATTAAGAAAAAAATGAATAAGTGTATCAGAGAAGAATTGACAAAAGAAATTGTAAAATGCCGTGGTTGTAAGATATACAACAACAAAGTCAAAAAAGCAAATGACATATTTCCTGACTGTATCATTGATAATATTTTGAGTTTTGTATGTTGTAAAAGATGCACCATTACAAAACATTTAATGAAAAACGAACCTGACAATTTAGAAGAAATGGATAAGTGGATTTGGTATATGACGAGGTTAAATAAATGTCCAACGAAAAAATCATTACGGACAATATTTACAACTGGTTTAGACAAAACATTAAAAGAGTATGGATATGACAATAGACTAATCTTGCATTATGAAACCGCTACTCAATTTCATTATAATTTACTTTTTCATAATAATGATGGTTATGTATCTTGTAAAAATTTTAGCATTTCAATGTGTAGAGATTTTCTTAAAATGTTGAAATGGCAATATATAGAAAACAAAGACAAAGTCGTTTATAAAAACATTTTTGATAATAAGTTTTATCATAAATTCGTCTGTCATTTGTTAGAAAAGAAAAGGTTGATTATAGACTGGTTTAATTATATGGGTACTTATGATTTTAGTGATGATGACTAAGTTTATTTATTATTATTATCTTATAATATTATTAACTACCTTAAAGTCAATTATATATTAAAAAACAAGACCTTAATATATTAAGAGAAAATGACTAACTTACCTGTTGAAGTATTAAAAAATATCATTTCATATAAATTAGGAGAACCTGAGTATTTGAAAATAAAACATAATCATATTAAGACATTAAAGAGAATACAACAACGATATAAAATAGACAGAACAGAAACAAAAAGAAAGACAAAGCGCTATACTGTTGAAGATGGCGATGATATAAAGAGACACGTAATTGAGTATTACATTTCAAGAAATATACCTTTAAGCATAAAAAGCATCAAAGATATAGTTTTAATGAAAATGAAAACTTAGATTGTTTGTTAGATGGCATTGAAACCGATAACGGTTATGAAGCAGTGATAATAGTTGAGGTAAATATGTTTGTAAGGTTTCATCATTTCAATTATGAAGACAACCATTTTAACACTTTTAGTTTTTATTTTCGTAGTGATGATGTTGTGGATAATATAACCATAGATAATATAGTCGATGTAATGAGAGCGCGCATCAACAAATATACAGTTGTATTGATGATGAAAGAAGTAGAATGAATTTTGAAGGTTTAAAAAACATAAGGTTTAAACTAATTGTTGATGAACCTGTGTAATTCAGTCAGTTTATTCATATTATTATCTTATAATACGATTAAATCTTCAATCCCCCAGAAAGCCGTAAAATTGTCTGAAACCCGAACCTTGAAAATGTTGAAATCTTAGACTGTTTCATAATGAAAAAATTGTAAAAAATGTTGAGAAAATTTAGGAAAATTCCCCACAATCAACCTTTAGGTTTTGGACAAAATGGTATGCTTGTTTAATTTCATCCCTGCCCCTGAAACTGAAAGCTGAAAATTCCCTACCTCAGAATCAATCTTTTAACCATTTTTCCCCCCCCCCCCCCCGTAATGTTGTAATGTTCGAACTTCAAGCGAGCAAATCGACGCGTGTGGCAAATCAACGCATTGTGTTTTGTTCTTGCGATCTATTCCTCGCTTCGGCTGGGAAGGACTGGGTCCGTCTACTTGGTTGTTGTTGGGACACATTTTACATGGTTGCTTGTTGTGGCTCAGTGGTTGAACCCCCCGCCTGGCTGCTAAAGCTTGTTTTTTTGTGGGAAACCCCCACCTGGCTGCTAAAATTTGAGAATTTTTGCTCCCCGAAGCCAACGTCAACCAAGTCTCGCTGACATCAAAGTTTCCCTCCAAAGGACTGTGGTCCGCTGGGAATGTCTGGGCCCATGCCGGTTTTTCCCGATGGGCGGTGCCGTTCCAGCGGATTTCGTCCATCCACTGTCTCAGTTGTTCAAAGCGAATCGACCTTTTGACCTTTTGGTTTTCCCTTTCTGGCCTATTTTCAGTAGAGGTCCCAAAAGGTGAACCTTTTATTTACAGGTCCTTTGGGCAAGTGAGCAGTAGGAAAACCGCTGATTCCTGGTGGGGGGTACCTGTACCAAAGCTGGGCCGCCCGCATGCTCGTTTTTGTTTTGTTTTTGCCGAGGCCTGGAAGGGCAAGGGCAAGGGCAAGGCGCGGCTGCATCGGGGGAAAGGGGGAACGGGGGAAAGGGGTTGGGCGGAGGATTCTTTTCGGTGCTTTTGGGTGGCTAAAAAGGTACTTTTATATATATATATATATTTTTTTTCTCGATTTTTAGGGGAGAGGTTGTGACATCGTTGAAATGCTAATCCCCCTTCGAAATGGCCAATGAAGCCCAAGCTGTGGCGGGGTTCTCGAGGACAATCCTCGTTTTGCATTGATCAATTGGCTCATGCGGCCATTTGAAGGGTTTTCGCAGCTCCAGAGGTGAGTGCCCTTGCTGGGCAAAGTTCGATGGGGCTCTCAAGCGGAGTACCTCCCTCCAACCATGGAAGCTGTGGAATTTGACTTTGAGGGGTGTGTAAATCTGACCCTCAATGGCTATTACGCGGTTAGGTGATCTTCTTTGGGCTATTTTGTCGCCATTTGACAGTTGGGTCCTGGATGGTGTCTGTTTTTGCGGCTACCCTTCTTGGTAAGGGAAACCGAACCGATTCCACCCTGTTTGGGAGTTCCCTTTGCACAAACCCAGACATGGGTGTGTCATTTTGTAGGGGGGCTGCAAAACGGTGAGTCTCCTATGTACCAGGGCTACCCATGCTTGTGCCGATTCCTATGTTTGGCTGCGGCGCAACCATTTCGTCTTGTCTTCGCCTTCTTCGGACCCAGAAACTCACTCCCTGAGTTCACGCACTTTAAACACTTGTCGGAAACACTCATGTCAGTGGGTAAATGCCAACGTTCCAGGATGTTTTTCTTTTTGGGCCGGTCCACCTGAGCAAAGCCCCGGCTCCTTTCCTCTATTTGCACTGACACCGGGCCGAGCGCCGAGCGGCCGGCAGGGCAAGGGCCCTGGTCCGAGGGTCACCGGCGTGGTGAAGTCCTTCGATCCAGGCAGGGGGAGCAACCGACGCTTTGGGACCCGGGGGAAGCGCCGGAGGGACAAAAACATCCGGGCGGAGCTCTGGGGTTTGGGATGTTTGGGTTTGTTCGGACGGGAAGACGCCGAGCTCGCACACGTAAACTTCGGACATTTCGGGGTTGGACGCGGATTTTTTTGGGGGTAAGCCCCGGGGGTGCCTTGCAAGAGCACGTGAAACCACCGGTGTGTGTGTGTGTGTGTGTGTGTGCGGAGTGACAGAATGCCCTGTCACCATTTTTTCAATTTCGCAGCAGGGGGATCAGGCTTCCAGTGACTGACCTGATCCAACGAAGCTAGGTCACTGGAAGGGAAGTAGCTGAGGACGCTCAGCTACGTACCTGCTTCCCAACAAGGTCCCCTCTTTGCCCGCGGAAATCAAGCCGATACTCATCATACTCGAGACTCATCAGTTGTACTCGAGACTCATCAGTTGTACTCGAAAGATTAGCACTCTCCATCTGGAGTTCAAGTGTGTACACCCCATTCGTGGGGAATCCTCGGGTGTACCCATTGTGTGACCCCGGGCCGGCTCTGTCGGAAAATTTGACCTCAACGTGCTTATCATAGAAAAGCGGAATTTCACATTTAACCAGGAACGAGGTTTCACTAAAGGGAAGAAAGCCGTCAGTTCATAGCGACGTCTCACCGCTGCGGATAGCTGCCGATTTGCATTGAATGTCTTGACCATTGGTTGAACTTGTTGCTCGTATCACTGCGGTTGGAGATTGCTGACTTGTATTTGATTCCCTTTTGCATGTCGAGTGATCATTGCAGTTGCGAGCTGCTAACTTGCTTTTGCATTGACTTGAACGTTTTCGAGCCCGAGTATCTCAAGGCGGAAGTGCGCAAATTTAGAATCGGTTGCGTCACCATGTCTCGACGGGATGATCGTGATAGATCCAGGACTCGACGCAGACGTGATCGGAGTCCGTCCCCTCAAGCTCACAAAGCCCGCCGACGTGAGCACAATGACAACCAGGTCGCAGAGAACATGGATTGGAACAACTTGGTCTCATGGCAGCACAACTCCGGCTACAACGCTGCTAACAACTTTCCGATGATGCCCACCAATTTTCAATCGACTCACAACCCCACACAACAATTCCAATACCCGGCGATCAACTACATGATGCCGATCCCTCCCGATCCCACGCCATCCAAGTTCATGCCACCAGTGATGCCACCACCGGTCACTACTTCCCAACCTACACCATCACCTGCACCTCCTGCGGCTCTACCGGTTCGTCCTCAGAAAGCCTGGCTTACTCCATCACCTGACTGGACACCAGGAGACGGCATGTTTGATGTCAACCAGCTCTATAACTTCAGCCTGCCCATGACTGTTGCCAACACTCCGCATGGCAACCTTCGCGACATGTCCGGCATGGATATTAGAGACGTTCGCCTGGTTCAGGTTATCCACGGGGGCCTCACCAACTGGCTCCTCCGACCGTTTGCACATGGCCGCTTCGTGACGTGGGAAGGCTTTCGCACCCGCACCGAGGCCTTGCTTTGGAGTACCTGCTCCAAATTACTGCGAAGATCGCAGTCACTTAACCTGCCCACCCTGGAGAAGGACCTTGCCAACACGATGGGTCTCAACATTGATGACTTCAATCAGCGCATCAAGGTCCACGACCATTTGGCCAACTTAGTACTTCAATTTCTTCAACAACATCACACCTCTCTCGCACCCGCGGCCCACACCGACGACATGGTCAAAAAGTTCAATGACTTGAATCGTGCTCACGAACTTCTTCAGGCTCAGTATTCCGCATCACTTCGTGCATCGGCTTCTCCCACAATGACAGACCAGAAGGAAGATGCAGAGTTGGTTACACCACCACCGGTCAACCACACACCATCCTCGTCACCTGCCAGCTCCCTTCCCACAGCCAGCGCCGCTGCCCTGGATGGCAAGTCGTTTGATTGCGTGGCGCAACCTCGGATCATGCAGTCTCTTCACGGAATGTCGTCACCGCCGTCCAAACCGGCGGCGTCACAATTGCTCACCATGCACAGCACGCCGGAGGAAGTTGTCAGGTACTACACATGGACCAGCGACCAACCACGCCTTTTCCTCAAGCAAGCACCCACAACAACCACTTTGGCATCGCTGGTTAAGTGGGCCAACCACCCGTCCCGGCTCAACGGCAACAAGTCATTAGATTCTATGGCTACGCAACTTCTGCAGGCGAAGCAACGCATGCCGAAAGGCGATGCCCCCACTCTCGGGGCAATGGCGGCTTCATGGGGATTGGAGCCCGGCTATCTTACCAAACTCACTGAGAAGGCATTGAGTCACCTCATCGTGACCGCTCGCCTGCTCTGTGGATGAGCAACCATCATGATGATCTTCGTTCTCATATGAGCCCGGAGCGGCAACATTTTCACGGATGAGTTCAGGTGAAAATTCGTCCGTCATGTGTCTGCGTTGCACCTGATTGACCTTGTACTTGCTTGTTCTTGCATTGCTTCTTGTGTGTTTGGCTGACATGCTTGTATTCATGTCGCCGCCTTGTGGTAGATTTTGTTGGTTGCATCTCATCATGTTGGATGAACTTCGTCACTGCGGGATCTATGATGACGTAGCACAATGGCAGTCGCTGGACGACCTTCTGCACTCGTTCACCGTATTCTCTACGTGCTGGCATTACTGTTTTCCTGGATTACCACTACCGTCAATTCCAATTGAGGAGTACGAATCCATTACGCAATTACCGTGGCTGGGTCTCATCCTCGAGGTCTTAGTTGTGGTCCGGATGGCCCTTCAGATCCCGAATCGTGCTATGTCCAGCTCTAATCACACCGTGGCTAACAGATATGAGCTTCATAGATGTCGGTGCGCTGCCTATTTATTGATCAGTTTCTTACAACGTCTTATTACACAAGATCACGGCTACTTCCCGCCGTTCTTTGAAGTCCTCCACTTCTACAAGACTTCTCTCTTGTGTGAAATCATGCACTCGACTTTCGCTGACACACGACATCTACGCTCATTGCGGGCGCGATTTCCTGACCTCTATGACTTCATTTATGATCCAGGTCATCATCAACAACCGTGCGTCTACATTCGCCTTTCTCCATGGCACACACCGTACTATGTTGGGGCGACTGATCAGGATGTACTACGTCGTGAACACTCACGCAGTCGCAAATTTCTACAATTGCTTCGTGGACGACATGCCTTCTTTGAACCGGCGCTTCACTACTGGAAACGATCCAACACCTACTGGCTCTACTGTGCTGTACCAGTGGAAATCAAGCTTCCAGTTTCCTCGGTGTGGGTCCAAGAAAGCAAATGGCAATACCTGCTACGCCCGCATTTAAATGCGCCCTGGGTACACAGAACCTTGCGCAAGGTGGGCTTTCGGGAACACCTTGTAGACTTTCGACGCCACTCGTTGTCAACTCCCACTTCCATCGGCTTGCACAAGCGCTTTCGACGACGACTACATCCGGATCTTCAACGACAACTACGACCGGACGCACTGGATGACATTCAAGCCCACTACTCCATTCTCTATCAGCTGGGATCGAATACAGGAGCGTCGTTCCAAGTCATGCGTGACCTACTGTCGGCCGCCTTCCCACCCACTCAGCTGTACTACTTATTGCGGCTCGCGATTTTCGTCAACGAGCCCTTCCGCTCCAAGGCCCAGAAGCTCCTCGCCCAGGTACTGCGCAAACGACGGCTACAACTACCCTCCACCCTGACACAGCTACTTCTGCCGCCGCTACATGTCCAGAATTGGAAGGCTCGACTTGGCACATGGTTGCAAAGCTGGATTGCTTCCCATCGGGATCTGTTCCCCTCTCTTTTCATTCCAAAGATCCGGGTTGTGGAAACCCGCAGCGCCACATTGGGCGACAAGATATACAACTATCGCACATGGCAGCGCAAATGGACGCCTGACACCTCCTTTCCGTGTCGCTGTTTGGACATCGATGATCACCATCTACTCCGTGCACATGGTCACGCAGTAATGGTGGATGACTTTTCTCGCATCAATGCGGACATTAACGTGGAAATCATGGCCGCCTCAATGAAGGATCAGTTTTTCGGTGATGTCGACTTACTGCATCAACGTTTCACCACGCAACTTCGTAAACTTGCTCGACGCTGGCAGTTGCAGGGTTCCGATCTACTTTCGGATCTACAACCGGTCGTAGCTCAGTTAATGGAGACCCATCGGATCAACCTCCAAGATCGGGCTTATTGGTCATCGACATCGTTGCAACGCACTGTGGCCTCTTTGTCGTCATGGGTAGTTATCCCAGCGGATCATTTTCCTTCCCGTGCACACGTAGTGTGCCCGTCCCTGTTTGCCATATTGATGCGGAAGACATTCTGCGCGGGGGATGTTTTCTCACTTTGCCGTGAGTCCGCAGCATCGTTTCGCTCTGAAGTGGTAACCACGGTACCTTCTCTCCTACGTCAACGATACGCATGGGGACTTCGACTTCAAGCACCTTTGCCCACAGCGCGCATCCTTCCAAAGCCGACCAAGGACTGGCAGAAAGCTCGACCCATCATCTCATTCTTTCGCACATGGGCAGCTCCCTTCCTCACGGTCTTCGGTGCGCTCATATTTGAACTCACCAAGGCGGCTTTCCCCGACATTGCAGGTCAGCTCCCGGTACAAGAACTTATCCAGCAGCTGTGGGAAGCACTGTCGAAAGCAGATCCTGATGAGTACGTCCACCTGGTGTCGCAAGACCTGTCCGGCTTCTTCACGTCCATTCCTACGGAACGATTCCATCAGGCACTTCAAGTGCTTCTCCATCGATATGATCAAGTTGTTGGCCTTCGCAGTTCTTCGCAATGGTCCGTGTACGAAGTCAAGTCAGATCATCGGCGCCGTATGTTCAAAGGGAAGTGGCGCCGTCAAACCAAGATCCCGCGAATCTTTCGTGAACAAGATCTCCGGCATCTCCTCGACTTTGTCATTGACAACAGTCACTTCGAGAT